GATACTTTTTCTAGCTATTTTCTACATGTCAATCCCTACCATCCCTAATATCCTCCTTTGAATCTGCCAGTTTCTGATACCACAAACCAAAGCTTCATTTAATAGAAAAGCAGCCCCTATTAATCAATCATAAGCTTTAGCACAATTTTTGAGAGATTGTTTAAGTTATTCCAAAGTTAAACTTTTCGTGTCTTATAGAAAGCTGTTATGTGGATTGTATCTCGATAAACAACTGATATTGTTCTTTATGTCATCATTTTGGGTTTAGGCAGAGCCTGTATTCAATGTTACAGGCACCATAACTTGGACTAGAATGGTATATAACCTGTCCTTCAATTAAATTTGTGAGAAGCTTATGATCTGAATCAGTTTCCCTAAAAGGCATTACATTTTATTCACAGCAACAAAATATTTATTTATCAGAATATGACAATAATGTTTCATCCTGAGGATGAAACTTGCTATGTATGAGTCTGATAGGTCATCATTTTTAACATGAAAGACAGATATTAGATATTAGAGGATGGCTTGCCTTTATGATTATGAATGTATAAGCACTATGCAAAACAAATTACACTGATAAAAGAAATGTTGCTTTTAGTCCACTAAACTTGTATTCAAAATATGGTCAGGATAGACAGTCTATCATTTAAAGAAACCCAGGAAATCATAATCATAATTCAAATACTTATTTTTTCCTTTGAGGGTCTTAAAATTTCCAATACTTTAAGTATTCAAGTGAACATATAATCATGCTCACATAAAATCCCTATGTTTAAAAATTATAACTTAGATTTATGTTTCTTTTTTTGCAGATGGTAGGTTTTACAAAAGTTTATTTATAAAAAAATTGGCTAATAAGCTAAATCAAGTAAAAGCAATGTCTAAAAGTCTGTGTATATCTTAATATAATTAATTCAAAAGAATACACAACTATGCATATCCATGCAATTTAAAATATACAAATGATCATAATCTTAGTGTTTAGTGCCAGGTGTCATCAACTAACTATTGCAACTGAAAGAGTTTGAGAGTTAGTAGTTAAGAGGACTGATTTTCCCATGTTAAGTCAAATGTTATTTTGTTTATTCTACCTATGAGAATGATTTTAGACAATTTATAATCAATTTTAAATAGTGCTTTGTAATTAACCTTGAAAGTTGCTACTTTATGGCCTTTCATTTCACATGCAGTCTCTTCCCTTTTTTCATGTATGTTTTTAATCCATTAAGGCCATCTATCCCTCTCCCAAGTTCTTTTTGTCATACAAAGATCATCAGGACATACCACATATGTCTATTGGGACTGCCACTGCTAATGAATATGTATGTTCTGTGTCACAACAGAGCACTCCCCACGTTCTGCAGTATCAACCCTCTTATGTGTGTAAATAACAGGTGAGCTGTAGCGTGCAGGGATAAATGGGGTTAACGCAACCTGAAAGCCCCATGCTAGATTCACAGTATCCTGCCTGCATGATTGATCCAGAAAGAGAAATCTAAATGCCAAAACTATTGTGCATTTTCTGTGTTTTGAATCTTTATTTTAAAAAATTACTCTCTTGAGATAACATTACCATCATCCTAAAAACCTGAGGTTATTCCAATTGGTTCTCAAGATACTATCATACCATATAAAATAAATTTGTACTTTTAATTAACACAAACCAGGTATAGGTATGATACCAACTTTGAATTATGACATGGCTAGTTAATTTCCTTGGAAACAAACCTAAAATGTTATGTTAATCATTATGTATACATGTAGCTATTTGTAAATAGTTATTTGTGTGTGTATTCTCTTTCAAGTATATAAATGCAAAGATCAATTTAGTTATATTTAAACTGAACTATATTCAATTTTGCCCAACACATCATGCTGACATGGGTCAATAAACAAATTCAGACTCTCCCAAGCCCCATGACCTTGTGTAAGATGGAATTTGCATTCATCCTTTTTTCTGTGCTCCTCTGGAACCTTAATCTAAAAAGACAGTTTACATAAAACAAAATAGATAATTAAGGCTGCTTATTTAAAAATGAAGACTCTTTCATATAAATTAGACAAAGGAGTAAGATCGTTATTTACATATAAGTATACAACTCTTCAACCATTCTCCTTAAGAACTAAGGTGGCTCTAAAGTGTGCAAAGCCCAGACAAAATTTGTTTAGGTTACTTATAATTTTTCTCTTTTTGGCAATTCATGCATTAATTTTTAATGCAATAGCAAAATAGTGTCTTGGACTTTGATAACAATATTCTGTAGTCAGGACTGGGTGACATAGTGCATTAATTCAGTGTCCTTCACTCCTGGGACCTGTGTATAATTTAGTCCAGCCTGAAGAAAATAACTTTGATCTGAAGGCAGTAGCAAAAGCTACATATGAAATGAGTTTTGGTAGGTTTAGTGTTGTTTCTTCCATATAAGACGACATATGAAGATAAACTGCTTTAGAATACAATCAACACAGTCCAGGATTAAAGGTGAAGAGCTCTTAGTAACAGCAAGTTTCCTCACTTCTCCATACTCTCCCCACCTGGCCCCATTCTATGGTCTGGTGAAAAAAGCCTCAGCATCACCTGTAATTGGGATGCTCTAATTTCCAGATAAACAGAATACTGTTCAAGTGCAGTGTGAATGACAGTCCAGTCATTAGCGCTGTTGGTTCTTCCATTTGTAAAAACAAAGAATGCTCCATGAGACAAAAGCAGAAGATATCAGCGTTCTCAAAGAAAGTGGCATTTCCTGTCCTAGAGGGGGTGCCCAACAACCTAAATCTTGGAGAAATGCTAACAGGAAAGACCACAAGTCAAGAAATTGTTTCTTCAAATTCCATCTTGACTGCATTCTCTATGAAAATAAGTTTATCTTCATATGTCGTCTTATATGGAGTTTCTTCAAATTCCATCTTGACTGCATTCTCTATGAAAATATTTAACAGTAGATTTCATCTACTGTTATGATAGACAATGCCATTATGTTAAAAAATATGTTTAGTCTTTGGCTGATTTGAGTAAAATGGTTGATCCAGTGGCACTAACCACATGAGATACACATTACCCCTTCTTGTCATTCTACAATTAATTTCAATTTAATTCTCTTTCATTGTAAATAAACATGGCTTCATTTATCTCTAATGTAGAAGTTAAAAATAAAATTGCTCTTAATACTGTCAACAGAGTTAAAAGCTACACAGATGATACTTGTATATGGTTTACACTATTCTACAATTTTATACTTAATGAAAATCATGAATGATTTTATTGGCCTCTTTAGTTATGGATAAGCTCTGGTATTTCTTAATAATTTTAAGGAAAAAGGAGATTTTCCCAAATTTTTTAAATTAGAAGATAATTTGAAAGAAATTTAATTCTAAATTTGCTATTTTTAGTTGCTTATTTTAAAAGAGTAATAAGTAAGTCATATTTTCCTGTTACTTCTTATGATTGTGTGCATCCTATTTACACAAAGTCTCTAAAAACAGGAAAACCAGAACCCTGCAGTTAATACATATAGGCTACACAGTAAAATCAAATATAGGTGCCTGTATGTGTATATGTGTTATGTCTGTGAGTTGCAGAGAGGATATAGAAAAAAAATGAGGAAAAAATGACAGAGAAGGAGAAAAAGGTTTTTAAAATTACTTTTATCCTAAAAATGATCTGCTGTACTAGCTTTAGTATTAATAATCTCAAAAGGTACACATCATATTTTTTCAAAAGTAAGCATTAAGATTTTCTTGAGCTGTATTTTTATTACTTGTGCCTCAAACCAAGTCATATACCTCAAAAAGGTTCTATACTTATAAAATATAAAGTCTTATTTATGATCTCAAAAATATACTATGAACACTCATTTCCTTAATTGAGTACTCATTTGTGAGGAGGTCTGGGTTACGTGTGTAAAGTTTTCTTCAAAAAGGATATTAATACAATTTTAAGTATTAACACGTTTTTTTCAATTGCATACAAAAAGAAAAATACTTATTAGAATCATTTGAGATGTAATGTTTTAAAAAATCCTTGAAAAGCAAATAATTAAAGCATATAACTGGGTTACTTAAGAAAGCACTCCCATTGTTAATTCAGAATTTTTTTGTTTTCTATACAGGTTTTTTTTTTTTTTAAACAGAATAGAGAATTTATAGAATGATGAATTACAGGTCTAAAAGTACATTCCTACTCACTGAACTGACATACCTAGTACTGGTCTCCTTTTAAGTAAATCTTTTGAAAGCATCCAGATGCCTACAAGAGCATTCGTTTATACTTGACTTTCAGTCTTAAGGCTATTACATGACCACTTAGTGAACTTGTGAAGTTTTGCAGGTGAGAATGTTTTATTATACCCTCCTTTTTTTTTTCAATGCTTCTACATCCAGACATTGTTTTCATTTATTACCTTAGAAATTATTTTATCCAGTTCAGTGTCAAATGATATTATACTGTTAAAGGAATCTATTCAGAAAATATAGTACAAAATAGTGGATTGCATCCCTGGCCACAGCTCCCACAAGCATTAAAATGTTACTAGAGTACCCGAATGACAGCAATGACAGCTTAATCACTTAAAGGCTTTTTACATTAACAATTTTTTTTTCTTTCAATTTGAGCAGTAAAATTCAGGCATGATTTAATAGGAGGTTAGCTGTTAACTGTAGCTAAATAACACTTTTTAAAATATCAAAATCAAATTTAGTGTCTAACGAACATTCCTTTATACTTCCTGAAATATTAGTGAATGTGCATAAAGCTTGGTTTCTTTCCCTCCCAATATGTTTGTAAAAATCAGACTGATAATTAGCATACATAATCCAACAGCTTCCTGTATTGTTAAAAGCAGAAGATCCATGGATAAAACATAATTGAAAGGTAAGCCTATTAATCTGGAGAATAACCTCCACAAACCAAATAGGCATGAATCATTTTAAATCTCCACCTCATTTATGGCTTTATATCCCTAAAGAAAAAAAAAAAGCAGAGAGAAACTAAAGGTGACCTTATTTAGACATATTAGTCAAGGCAGCCTTTGCTGTTTTTAAGCAAACATGATTGTGACTCCACTTTGTCCATCCAGTTTTCCAGTGTGTAAATTGGATGATGACTTGAACAATTCTCTCTTCATTAGTGAACTGTGGAAAGGAAATACAGAGGTGGCTTTTTATTTTTTAAACTCTGCAGTGTCTTGTAGCCAGATTCCAAAGCATCAAGGAAAAAAAAAATCTATCTATCTATCTATCTATCTATCTATCTATCTATCTATCTATCTACACACATATAGATAGATAGATAGATAGATAGATAGATAGATTTTTTTTTGCTAGACAAGCTGTTGTAATTGAAATGAAGTCTAATCAGACTCATTACTGTTTTCAGCAATTTGCTCTACCAAAGATGCTTATTAGGTAACTGTGTTTAATAAACCACTCTTTAGAAAAATACCAGTAATGAGTTCTTAACAGCCAATCTTTAGCATGAATGTAATGTGAAAAGTGTTCCTAGCACTGAATAGATTTTCACATTTAGTAGTGTCATAATTAAGCTCCATGAATTAGTTGCTGTGATGTTAGATTTATTACAATAATCTTATTTTTTCCCTATTTTAAATATACTTGGAAATACAATCATCTTTTATTAGAGTTAGATTATATTCACTGCACAGCAAATTTTAGCATAGTGCCAAGCTGGTCAAAAGGTTTTTAAATGGAGCATTTGTTAACAAATGATAAGCAAGGATTTTATAACTGATAATTGATGCTATAGCTATCAAGTCTGTCCTCATCAGCATCTCCACACTTCAGAAAAAAGTATTCCTGTCATTTCATTACATATGAAAACTTACCCAAGATATAAATATATTGTGATAATTAAGAGGAAAAATGGCATTTCTTTCACTAAGTTAAAACATGGAAAAAATGGACATTCTGAAAGGAATAGTTGAAGAAATGTTGGCCTTTCAAAATAGCATCTATAAATATCATTTATATTGTTTTGTTATTGTTCTTAAAAACATGAATACCATTTTCCTCCTCAATTCTTCCTTTTTGTAGCACTATTTACTAAGATCTTAACGTTAAAGGCCAGTATTGCCAATACATATTATTTATATGCACTAAGGGTGGTCATAAGATTTAGCTGGGCTTCTTATTGATAAGAGGATAAACATATTTCATACCTCTAAGGACAGGACTCATTTCCATATAAGAGGTACATGTGCTAAAATAAGTATATATCTATAAAGTCTGTATTAATCCATCAACAGAGTATATTCTGAGGCATTTCTATATATAATAATTATATGGAAAGAATTGAAAATATTTTTTGAGAACATCTAAATAAGACTTACAGGAAGCTCTTAGCTTGTAGTCATGAAATGTCTCACAAAAGAAGATAAATATCTTTTGTTTAATAAAAACAACCTGAAAGATGACATAATTAACTTTGAAATGAGATTCTGGACATTTTAAAACAGTTCCATAAAGATAATCAAGAAATGAAAAAGTACAAAAATAACAGGAGACCAAGAGTTTATACTCAATTCATGATAAAATGTTAAGAAAGATTCAGTTACTGAATGATTCCTCTCCCAATACACTCTCATTTCTTCTAACCTCAAGCTTCACGATTCCTAATTGGAGCCAATAAGCCTCCATAACTGTTTTCAGCTTTCTGAATCAATAGTGCCATGAGAACTGAGACTGTCAAATTAATGGCTTGTTTCATCTGATTTTGTGAAATGCACTTCTTTGCATTACAAAGTAGAAAGGAAACCAAACTCATTCCCTTGTGAATTCGTATAGCTTTCATATCAAAATATTTTCCTGTTTCTTTAAGCTTTGACTGAATTCGTATTCAGAACCACAAACTAAGAAGCCAATGCATAAAACTACTGGCAACTCAAATCCTGGATCTTTAAATGAACCATAGCTAAAAAACAAATACTAAGAGAGGGCCTCTTTCAGTGCCTTTGGAATGTCTTATCATAACCTTGAATAACTTCACTTATGAATTATATAATTTGTGTTTTATAAAAGAGCATGAATGTTTTGTACATTTGAATTTATTACAACAGCTAAGAGGCTCCAAGATGTCAAATAACAGTAATAAAGACAATAATAATGATAATCAAAATCATTCTTTTGGTGAGCTTTTAAAATAACTTTTCATAATGATGAAGCCATAGTTTTACTTATGATTTTTAATTAGGAATAGAGTATTGAGTGGATAGATATTTTACGTAGGTCTAACCCTGAGTTATAGAAGGTTGGCAGATTTTGTCTTAGCTTTAATTTCTAATTTGAGGAAACACAAACTAGGGAACATAAATATATACACAGGTAAGATTCTAGTACAGAGAATTAATACAAACACATATTATTATGTAAATACAAGATGTAGTTAATAGGGCATAATAAAATGATAGTGGTAATGGGGAGACTTGTTTATCAGGTAAGACTTTTTGGAGAAAGTAGATTTTAAACTTTAGCTTTCGGCCATACCATTTAGACATTGGTCTAAAGATATAGGGAAATCATATATTTAAGCTCGTAAATAATTTTGGAAAAGAATTAGGGCTCATTAATCCTTAAATTTTCAAAGACCCACAATACCTAGTATCAGCCTTACCATTCTTAGACCCCTCTTTAATTTTATCATTTGCCATATTCTTGAGCTAAAAAGGTTTAAAATAAATATTTGTTAAAATAAATATTCTTCCATGTAACAAATAAGCAAACAAACAAACAAAAATAAAATCTGAAAAAATTCAGTTTATTTTACTTGGGTCTTAAATTCTTTCAGGTTTACTTCCCACCCACCCGCTTCCCTCAGCCTCCTTTTCACTCTGACATGTGGGCCAGTGAGTTATTTTCTCTCCTTTCCTTCCCTCCTTTCTTCCTGTTTTCAAGTTGTTTGTCAATTATAAGAAAATAAATTAGAAAATATATTTTAAGTCTCAAAACCTAAAAAAAAAGTCTTCCTTGAACCTCTGAATCTTAATAACTTTTGTTGTCACTAGAAAAAACAAATAAGACCAGTTGGCTAAACTGTTTAGAATATGCTAATGACATTCATGTTCTAATAACATCTGAGTGCCTACCTGAGCTTACAAAACATCTGAGTAACATCTGAGTGCTGACTTGAGAGCTTCTGCCTTAAGTGCTAGGGAATATTGGTCCCAGTTTCTAAATCATCTTTAGTGGTCATTTACCAGAGAAAAGATTTAGTTACAAATCTGGTAGGAAGAGAGGACTCTATAGAGGAGTTATTAGTCAAGGTATATCTTAAAAGCTCAAAAGAATTTCACCAGTTAGAAAAGAGAGAAGAGTTTTCCTGCCTGAGACAAAACTCATTCAAAATCACAAATGAAGCCAAATATACATGGTATATTTGGGAAACAGGGTATCTTGATGTAAGTAGAAGCTAGAAGGGAAGTATATGTCTATGCATAGAGTCGGATATAAGTAGATGAAGCTTGAATTCAGATTGCAAAGGGACTTGAATGTTTGGACTTTCTACTGTCAACATAAAGTGCTGCCCTCATCTGTTCTTTAGAAATATACAGACAATAACAATGTATATAATAAAATAGAAGGGGAAGCGGGCCTGAACTTGAGCAAAAAGAAAAGAAAAATCTTAGAAAGATTTTATTTACAGAGTAAAAAGGATGGACCGACCAATTAGGTTTGGAGGAATGAAGAAAAGGAAGGGCACCTTCAAAGGACATCATCATAAAAATAGAAATATTTGTTAGAGATCTGTCAAATAATTAATAAAGAGATTGTGGTGGACACTTAATCATTCAAAAGCCTAGTGAGGGATTGTTATTTCCTTTTATATATTATGAAATAGGTTCGACGAATCTAAAGAATTTTCCCTAGGCCATCTCAGAGCCAGAATTGCAACCTGGATCATGTGACACAAAATTGTCACATTTTGTCTCAGATAACTCCAAGGAACTTCTTGTACAACCACTGAGTTGGCTGCCGGCACTTCCCATCTTTTGATGGCAGAGAGGGCAAAACTCTTTAAGGGTATTTGGGAATCATGAGCATATGTGAATTTGCTGAAGTTATGGTAATGGAAGACAGCAGAGAGAAAGTGTGTAGAATGAGATGAGAAGGTCACTCTTGAGTGGAACCAACATTTAAGGAGAAGGCAAAAAGAATAAAACATACAACACTGTATAAAATGGGGCAGGAGTGGGAATTGATGGAATAGAGTCATGAAGGGGATAGAGAGAGAATCAAGGGCAGGCATGTGTCAGGCAAATACAGGAGGAAAAGACAGGGGCACCTCTTTGTTTGAGATGGAGTGAGAAGGTGCTTTTACAGGTAGAGTATATGTGACCTCTGGATCCCATTTTGTTTTCTTGAATGCACCTTTAGAAGTCAGTTATCCTCTCCACCTTCCTATTAGCAAGTCAGTTGACCCATATTCCATGTCCTGTTGTATGATCTATTGACTATACTCCTAATCCCAGTCAGGTGCAAACCCTGGTCACAAGGAGCGACAGGGTGAAAGAGAGTGTGGGAGGATCAAGGCAAAGTATCATTACCATTCAAAAACCATCACAGACAAACTATAGTGGACAAAAGTATTATCGCTGTATATGACAAGAAAGAACAACCCTAGAAAAGCAAGCCTAATTGAAGATTGCTTTAATAATTAAGAACATTTAATTTGGTTATGGATGATGCAAACTTTGCTCTCAAAGTTTCTCATCCATTTCAATCTTATTTAAAAGTAAGAAAGTTAAATTGCTCTTGTTTGAGTAATAAGATACTTGATTCCCTAAGATAATCTATTTTAGGTTAAAATATCTTACTCATAATTTGAGAATTCTTCTTCTTCTTTTTATTATTATTACAGCTTCATCTAGGAAGACTTCCTAAATGTCACTGCCTTCCCTCCCTATCTACCATTTCCGTGTCACCCCATACTTACACTGCATTTTTACATGCATTTACTTTTCCTTTTTCATCTGTATTACCTACCCACTAGACTATACTCTTTGAGACCAGGAATTTATACCTTTAGAATAGGGCAGGGACCTTGTCTATCTTGTTTACAGCTATATGCCCACTGATAAGAGTATCAACACAAAGTAGGTACTATATCTACATTTGTAGGT